TGCAGGTGGTTTGTCAGAAAGTTCCTCATCAACAGAGAATTGAAACAGTGTTTCTATTTTTATTCCTAACTATGGTGGTTTTTCTTTTTTTTTTTTTTTAATCATGTTATTTAATTTTTGCTATAGGGTGCTTTGGTTCAACTCATCATGGAAAAGGAACATATCATCAAAAGAAAAAAAAAAAAAAAGAAAATTTCAATTCAATTATTTTTCCTTTATTTCTAAATTTAAAAGTTTACATTCGTTTTTGCTTTATATATATATAAATAAAAATGATTCATTTACATAACATTTTGTTTAATCATCCATTTCAATTTCTTCTTCCCAATTCTCTTCATTGACATTGTTTTCATTTCTTGTCTTTCTAGTAAAACCACCAACTTCTTTTAATAACACCTGTATCATTTCTTTAATTTCTGGATCAATTTCTTCTTCATCACTATCAATTTGTAATAATTTATACCCACTACTTAGCGCTAAACGAGCATCATCAATGTAAGTTTTCGATTCTTCATCATTTTCCCTATTCAAATCCAATGGCGGTAAATCCATATATATTTCTCCAATCTTAACATCACTATCTGATTGTATATTATTTTGAATTCTCTTGGCAATCAAGTAATTGACAAATCCTTCCAAATAATAACTCTCCAAACATTTCTCATTAATATCCTGAACATTCGCCACTATCTGAAGTGAAATTTCAAACATTTCCAACTCAATAGCATATTTTGCAAGGGTTAATAACAGTTGTATTAATTCAAAATATTCTGCACTTGCTTCTTCTTCTTCTTCTCCTCCAGTCAGATTATTAGAAGCACTTTCCAACAGAGTTTTCTTCTGTAAAAATAATTCCCAAGCACTATTTACAGCTGTAATAGCATCATCGTTTCTTTGTTGTGATATCCTAATACTTGCTAAAGTGGACCATGCTTCTGGATTTTCATTATCGAACTCTAATGACTTGTTAATCAAATCATTACATTGTTGTTCAGCCTCTTCTTCCATACACAAATCAGTCATCCATATCTCAATCTCAGCGAAAATCCCTTGGTTCAATTTCTTGATCAAAGATTTCTTCTCCGCTAAAGCATCATTAACACTATTTGTTTCTAAATCTAATAACAACTTGTTTAAACCAACATTCAAAAAATTCAACCCATCTCTACCACCAATGATTTGACCAAGGTACAAAAATTTCTCAACACCTACGGCAGCTTGTGGATCATATTCACATGCCTGTGCCAACACATCATAAGCTTCTTCCAACTCCGAGTTCTCTAAAAGTGTTTCACCATATTGCTGTAAAAATGGAACACTCAAAGAATAAGAATCCAGATGAGGCTTGAGTGTTGCCAACGCAAGTTCCGGCTGATGAGAAGAAAGTAAAGCTCTTGATGTCAATAGAAGCGTTTCCAATTCGGAAGCTGAGGTCATTTTCTCAAGTTTTTCGTATTCTAATTTATGATTATTATTAGTTAAAATATTTAAAGATTGAAATGTTCAGCTCATCTGAAAAATTGCAAAAAAAAAAAAAAAAAAAAAAAAAAATTTTTTTAGACATTTTTTGATTCTTCGTATTATATCTGGAAGAAAGAAAAGTGTTGATAATTATAATTATAATTATAATAATAACAAGAATAAGAATCAAAAGAAAGGAATATTGATCAAATATATTAAGCTATCATGGATCCAGCTGAGGAGCAGAAACAGGAGTTGGAGATTTTAGAGTCGATTTATCCTGATGAGTTGAAAAAAATAAACGATAAAGAGTTTACTATTCGTATATTGTTAGATACAGAATCGGAGAAGAAACATAGTGTGCTACTTCATGTGAAGTACCCTGATAATTATCCTGAAGTGATGCCAGATCTCGATGTGCTAGTGGGAGGGAAGTCACATTTACTTGGTTTGAATGGAGAAGATGGTTTCGATGAGGATACGGATGATGAGGCTGATGAGAATGATTATTACAATGATGATGACGATGATGATGATGATGACGATTATGAAGATGAAGAAAATGGGCATAGAAGTCTGATAAATTTATCGGAAACCATATTTTTTGATGATGACGATACACAATTGTTGTTGAATAAAGTGATAGAGGAAGCTCTGCAAAATGTGGGAATGCCTAGTATATTTGCCTTAACATCTTCTTTAAAAGATGAAGCAGAAATACTTTTCCAAGATAAATTGAACAAGGCTCAAAAAGAATATGATGAAATGATATACAAGAAAGAGTTAGAAGCACAAAAGAAATTTATAGGTACAAAAGTTACTCCTGAGAGTTTTAAGGCTTGGAGGGAGAAATTTAGAAAGGAAATGAAAATAGATGAGAAATTACTGAATAGATTCAATGAAATCCACCAGGGAAAGATGACTGGTAAAGAGATATTTGAAAAAGGTTTGGCTAAAGGTGTGGATGAAGATGTTAACTCAGGCGATGTCCCTAGTTTAGAGAAAGGTGTAGAGAAACTAGAAATTTGAATGCATCTGATATAAATAAAAGGAATAAAAATATAATATTTGAGCTTTTTTATCAAAGGTAAAAAGAATAAAAATAAAATTCATATAAAGGCACTATGTTATATATATATATATACATATATATATTAATTAATATGATTCTGTATTTGCTATTTTCAATTACCTGCCATTTTCTTTCCTTCGTCTAATAAATCAGAAAACGAAAATGAACTTTTTTTGGTAGCTGTTTGCAGTTGTTTCTCTTGCAGTTGTTGTTGTTGTTGTTGTTGATTGGAAGAGGATACAGAAATTGAAGTAACACCAATATTCGAGTAATTGACAGGAGTAGTTTTAGGAGCACTGAAATCTGCCAAGATTTTATTATCTGGAGTTGAGTGTAATTTGTAATCAATAGAGCCAGAACTGACTGGGAATTGACCAACTCCCATCAGGTTTGGTGATCTTGGTGTTAATGGCGATAATACGTTATTGTTATATGCTTTTAATGGTGTGTTCATATGAGGCGTAAAACTGTCTACCTTGAGATTTCCATTTCCATTCACATTTCCATTGCCATTACCACTACTGATGCTACGAGGAGTTGGAATAGCAGAATCCATTAACAACAAATCTAACAGGTTGCCGTTACTGTTGCTGTTAGTACTGTTCTTATTCCTAAATGACGACAGAGAGCTGGGTATCTCACCAGCAACTCCTGCACCAACCAATTCCCCAAAATCATCATCATCATCATCATCATCTTGTTCTTCATCGTTTCCGTCATTACTGTCCATAAAATCATTATTTTCTCTGTATTTATGATAAATATTAGCATCATAGTTCTTGTTACCAACAGATTCATATTGAATATTGTTAACATCAAAATCGTTATAGTCACCGTTTGTATAATTAAGCTCTCCTTCATCACCTTCAATATGAATAGCACCATTACCATCGCTACTTTCTTTATATTTTGGTGTGATATAACCTTTTACTGTATCTACAGCAGGAGTTATATAGGAAGAAAATGAAGATTCTCTTCTTGGTCTTGTCGAAACACCAATAGAAGTTGATGATGATCTATTATTCCTATTTCTATTCCCAACTTCCAACGCTAGAGATGTATTTGATTCTAATGCTATCTTATTGGCAACGCTTGAAAGTTTTATTCTTTTCTCTGCAAGTAATTCAGAGTTTGAATCATCTATTAGGGAAAGGACAGCTTCAGATTTTTCCTTTATTAATTTGGTATGAAGAGTATTTTTATGATCAGCAGAATTTGTACATTGATAACTATTTTTCAAATATTTTAAAACAGATTCATAATGTTTTATTTCATGTTTTATATCAAATGAATTATTTGGAGTAAAACAATGAAGTAAAAGATATTCCAATAATTGAAGACTTTTCAATATAATTCTATATTCTTGTCCTGAATTTAAATATCTTTTCTTGAAATTATTATATACCAGCTCACTTGCTGTAGTCTTACCATTTAACCCAACTAACCCTATTATATTCATATTTTTACTACCTGAATATTCAACAATTCTTTTAAAAAAAAATAAAATAGCTTTACCTGGAACATTACCGGTATTATTACCATAATCAAATGTATTATAATAACTTTCAGTTTCATCATAAGTATGACTCAAATCAATATCATTATAATTATATTCATCCGAACTTGTATTTTGTCCCACTGAAGCTAATATCGAAGAACAAATCTTCATCTCCTGACTTGAAGTAGGACCCCATCCATCTGTATTTGTTGCTTCTCTTATCAAATTCTCCAACTCAGAATAACTAGATACAAAGTTCTGAACTTTTCTTGAAACTTGTCTTATATCATACATTGTCAAATTATTGAGTTTATCTTTTATAGAACTCATCTTATAACCACCGTATCTAATTTAATTACTTATCTTATTTATATATAAGTAAGTAAAGTACTTTAAAGTACGCAACTATGCAATTATGTATATGTGAATATTAAAGCAAATTAAAAAAAAATTAATAAATGATTAATTTAAATATATAATAATATTAAATAAAAAAGGAGTTATAAAAGGAAAGGATGTTTTCACAATAATCAGCCTTCAAAGATAATAATAATAATAATAATAATAATACTAACTACGGTTTACTAATAATTATAATAATAATAACGGCACTCAGTTTAGTACTTGTTTAGTATATATCATTTACTAGACAAAAAAGAATATTCTTCGGAATCGATGAGTTGAAAATCTTGCGTTAGCTCCGAGCCATTACACACGCAGCAGATACAACACAACTCCTCGGTTTGAATTCCGCCATCTGCCGGCACTTCTGATAAGCCCGATGATCGCGGTAGAAAAGAAATTTTTTTCTTTGTTTTTTGTTTTTGTCCGTTGAAAAAGGCGGAAGAAACGTGTGATGGGGGGCAGCAGCCGACAGACTCTCTCTGTGTGCCTTGGAATGTGTGTCTGTGCTGTGCCTAGTGGCAATTGAACAATTGAACTACAAAGCTAAAAGGGTCCATAAGATTTGCCTGGCTAGCTCAATCGGTAGAGCGTTTGACTCTTAAGAAATTCTAAAATTGGATATCAAAAGGTTGCGGGTTCGACCCCCGCGTCGGGCTATTTTAATTTTTTTTTTATTTTTTATTACTTTCTTTACGCCGCTTGATGCGGGCTCACTAGAAGAGCTTATTAGAGCTTACTATTATTATTTATATACTACATACATATACTTAACCTTGACTTGAATAAAAAAATATAAATATAAATCTATTTTTTTCTTTTTCTGTTTACTCTTAAGGATTGGCCCTCACCTTGGAAAGCATTAGTTTTACTATCTTGTTTATCTTTTTCATTTTCTTCAAGTGCAGGTGGGATATATGGGAATCCGAAAAATAATACGTTAGGTTCTAAATTAAGTGGAACTGGAGGTCCATCTAATTTCAAAGTCTTGACATTATCAAAATTGGCATTATTATTTTTAGATTCAATTTTTTCTGTGGATTTACCCTTCCCAGATAATTTAAAACCTTTACCTTCCCATTTTTCATTGCCCTTTTTACCCTTTTCTAATAATTGATCATAATTAATTTGACTACCAATACTACCAAGCTCAGTCACTACGTGCCTGTTAGCTATATCCAGATTAGAATTGGGGTTTTTTTGTAAAGCAGCCAGCCTTTCCTTATTTTCTTTTTGTAATTTTTCCATTTTTTCTTCATACCCTGGAGGTGGAGCAAAATCAGTTTCTAAATCAGTTTCAACAACACATATACTATGTGTAACAGATTCTGGTTTAACTTCCAAAACTTTAATATGATATAATTTCTCATTATAAGATATTTGAATAATATCATCAACTGTTAAAGTAGAAAATTTTCTTAAACAATTTTCTAATACAGCTTTAGGATCAGAAATATCTAAAAATTCTTCAGATTGAGGTTGAATTCTAACAAATGATCCAGAGGGCAAATCAGCATTGGCCACCTTGATTAACGATCCAGGTTGAACTTGTAATGTTTCCATCATCCATTGTGGTAAATAAGCTCTTCCTTCTTCAGCAACAAACTCTAAAACACCACTATGAGTCTTAATACCTAAAGCTTCATTCTCTAATTCAAATAACATCGGATACCTTATATTTAACTGAGTCAATTGATTCAAAGATGATGGAGGTAAAAAAATCTTCCCACCAAAATTAGCATCCTCTTTTCTTATCAAATCAGACATCATAGCAATTGGATAGCATCTAAACCATGCCTCATAGTTTGAAGGTATATTGAATTGTGCAAATTGAGAAGCAAACCCAGAAAACTATTCCCACAGAAACGCCGTTAGTATCAATCAAAGAAAACCCTAATTTCTAAATACCAATTTTCAAACTTACCATTTTCTTCTCTCTTTAATATCTACTTTACTTCCCCCTTATCAAATTGTTTCAAATAATTGGTTTCTTTCCCAACAAACTTCAATCAATTTCAATCGCCACATACAAAAAAGTAAAAAAGAAAGAAAGAAAACAAAGTAGTTTTCAAGAAACAAATTTTTGTTAATAATAATTGAAAAAAGATTAAAAACAAAGGGCAAACTAAAAGTGATAGATTAGAATTGATTATCGTATTGATAGATATCTATTGAATTTGAACTTGATAGATTTATGGGGGGATGCTGCAGTCGCGTGAGAGCTCTGAGTCTGATGACTATTTGGTAGAGCTTCAGAATGAAAATGCAAATGAAAAACTTGATAAGAGTGTTGAAGGAGAAGAATTGTTAGAGAATATTGATGAGTTGAAGAAATTAATAAATGACGATAAGAACGATGAGGATGAAAATCTAGAATCTCTTTATTTTTCGGATGATGATCAGGATTCTGGAGAGGTTGATGATGATGATGATCAAAATGAAGATGATGATGATGATGATGATGATGATGAATCTGGAGATGAGGAAATGGGGGTAGATGATGAACCGCCCAGTATTGATTTTGGGTTTTCTTCTGATGATGATGATTACGATGTTAATGAAGATGAAAACTTGATGAATGATGAATTTGAATTTAAAAATATCTTGAGAGAGGCTACCAATATGAAAACCAAGAAAAGGAAAGGAGGATTAGCTTCGTTAAAGGCAAAATCTCAGCAAGTTGATCCCGAGGTTAGAATGTTATTAAGTACAGCAAATGAAGCATTTGTAAGGAGAGATTATCAAGAAGCATTGGAATCATTTTTAAAAGTTGTTGAATTGGATCCAAAGAATTTTTCCGCTTACAAGACAATGGGTGAAATATATAAGCAGCAAGGAAGATTATCCAAATGTTGTAATATATGGTTTTTGGCAGCAATATTACAACCTTGGGATTCTGAATTTTGGAATGAAGTTGGTGAATTATCTCAACAATTGGGACATACAAGGCAAGCTTTACACTGTTTTTCCAAAGCTGTATCATCAAGTAAAAATAAAAATTTAAAAGCAATTTTTAATAGAGGTGTAATTTTTAGAGAAACAGATCAATTTGTTAGAGCTTCGGAAAGTTTTACTAAATTATTACAAATAAATCCAACTAATTCGGCAATAGTTAAAGAATTGGCTTTAGTTTATGTGAGTCAAAATAGAATAAATGATGCTATAAATTTATATGCGAGAATATTAGAACAAAATAAGAGATATCGTGAACTATTAAAGAAAAACCCAGATGCAAGATTGAACACTGTTAAATTTGATTGGTCCGAATTAAATATCTTGGCAGAGCTACATGGGAAACAAACTGCTTGGATATCTGCTATTAAAGTTGTTAAAGAAGTTGCCAGATGGATACAACATAGAGAAGATCAAACGTGGTGGTCTGACACAAATGACGATTCTGAATTCGATGGCAGAAGGTTGAAAAATCCAAAATTTCAACTGTTGGCCAGTAAGGAAAAATCAAAAGCATATGGTTTGCCAATAGATATAAGAATACAGTTGGGATTTTTCAGATTGAATTTAAATTACATAGAAGAAGCAAAGATTCATTTCAGTCATTTATTTGAAGAAGATGTTCATGGGAGTGCTGATTTATATTTTGACGTCGGTAAAGCTTTAGAAGAGCATAGCTTACATGCAGAAGCATTGAAATATCTTTCACCATTATCTTTTGTGGAAGCATACAACAATAATGATTTAAAGATGTCATTGGCAAATTGTTACTTCCTGTTAAACGACTTGGAACATGCCAAAGATGCATGTGAAAGTTTATTAAGGGAAGATTCAGGTAATTCAAAAGCTCTTTCACTTTTATTGGAAATTCACTATTTTCTTGGTGATAAAGAATATTTTGAAGAATTATGTGAGAGAATTAAAAAGCCAAAGGATTTCAATCATCGAGAAAATGATCAAATGGAAGTTGATGAAGAACAACAACAGCAGGACGATTTAAATGTTGCTTTAATTCAGGACATTGCCCCTGGGAAAGTTTCCATTAAAAAACAAAGAAGATTGAAAAAATTAACTGATGAACAATGGTTTATCAAAGACCAGACACAGACTTCAAGAGTTAAAGAGACATATTTCCGTTCTGAAAAATTACTACCTGATGTTAGAAAAGGCGATAGATATGCAACAGAAATTTGGATGGATTTAGCCATTGAATTGATTGAGATTTTTGCATCAGTTAGAAATTTTTTTGCTCCAGATAAAGTAACTAAATGCAGAGCTTTGCTTGCTGAAAGAAGAAATGCATTTTTAGATATTGATGAAAGAATTACAAGAATGTCAGTAATACGCGAAGAAATAGAGTTGGATAAGCATAACAATGGAAAATATTCTCTTGGTGTAAGTGGTGTGTTTAGAGGAGTCACCTTTGATCAATGGTTCGAATTATTTATGCAATATTGTTTATTGATTTCTAAGTTGGAAGGACCAGCAGCTGCCTTAAAACTTTATGAATCTTTCAATACTGTCAATATATTCTATCAAGACAAGAGAAGAGAGAGAATCTTATCTATTGTTGGGTTATCATTATCTTTGAAAGTTGGAGATACTCAATTAATCTTGCAATATTTGAGAGCAGTCTTGAATAATCACCAGTTTTCTTCTCAAGCTTTGAAGTTATTTCTTGCTGTATTTAAAGGTGACAATGAGTTAAATGAATCATTTTCTGATAGTTCCCATCAGAAATATTTTTTGAGGCAAATTAAAGCTTTTGATTCATTGAAATATGGTAAGAAAATTACCGGTATGGCTACCATTACTAATGAGGATATCGACACCACACATATAAATCCATATTTGAGCTATATATATGCTGCTTTATTGCATTCCAACAAGAGCTACATTTCTCAGATTGCTTATATGTCAAAACTCTATGCCGATGGTTTTACCGAAGATCCAATGATCTGTTTTCTCATAGGTATTGGCCACATCCATAGGTCAATTCAAAGGTTATCCACAAACAGACATTTTCAAATTTTGCAAGGATTCAGCTACTTGTTGAGATATAAAGAATTGAGAACTAAAAAAGGAGGTGACTTTGAAGAACAAGAATGTGATTATAACTTAGGACGCGCTTTCCACATGTTGGGTTTATTTTCCTTGGCCACTGAATTTTATAATAAAGTGTTGGCTAAAAAACTAGGATTTTTAGAAGCTGAAGCAAGCTATAACTTATACTTGATCTGTCTATACAACGGTTGTGGTGAGCAGGTTGAACTAATGACTGTGTAGGTATTGTATAACTATTGTATTTTAGGTAGTGTAATAATAGTAAGTTGACTGTAACTGATTAATATATATGACGATAAGAAGAAGTAACTTCATGATAATTGATAGTTTAGTTATTCTTTATATATAGTTGTTATAATTAACTTTTAATTGAATTGAAAATTTATATTTTGAATTATGCCTCCAATCATTTCTATTCAGGTGAGTATTTGTATTGATTAAATTTGGGTAAAAAGTGAACCAATTGAATACTAACAAGTATGTATGAAATTTCAGTCTAGATTAAAATCACATCTTAAGATGGCCATTAGCCGTTTAAGATTTGTACAGCAGAAGAAAACTGCTATTTCCAAACAACAAAGAAGAGTTGTATGTTAAGTTTTTTTTTTTTTCTTCTTCTCTGAAGTATTATGGTTTATTTGAT